CTGGCTGTGCAGTCCATCAGACATACGGCAGAAATTATCAGAGGAAGGTGGAGATTAACGGTGGATTAGGGCTGGTTCACAGCCTCGCAGAGTTGCTGTGTCTGCACTGTCTGGGTGCTGGAGGCATCTCGCCTCACATGGGCAGTGCCGGGAGCTGGCCTGCCTTGGTCTGCTTCCTTTCTCCTGGCAGTGATCACTTTCCAGCTGCTGTCTGTCCATTGCTCCCTGAGGACCCGGCAGCAGCTGGGTGACTTTCAGGGAGCCATGGACAGCTCCTTGCTTGCCTTGGCTGCTGGCAGCTCGCTGGCTCTGCCTGTTCCCGAGGAGCGGGATGGGTCAGGGTATCTCATCCATTCAGTGACCCCTTTGGGTAGAGGGGTCTGGACAATGGCATGGGGTGCAGAGCATCTCAGTCAAGTGTTTCTGGGCCTCCTGGAGAGAGCTGCTTCTGGGCACTCCCAACTCCCTCCATCTCACTGCCACAGGCTTTTGTGGGGCCAGAGAGGGCTGTGCTTGCCCTCGGGGTGCAGGAGCTGGCAGTGCATGACACAAGGGCTGATTGTGCAGGACAGTCCTGGAGCAGAGAGGCCTCTTCCTCTCTGTGTGGAAAAAGGACTCTCCCAAGCAGACCTAACAAACTGATGGAAATAGGTGTTCTGACTTGCACTGGGGATGTTTTTTGTTTGTGCTCGTGCAAATGATGGAGCCTGGCATGAAAGGACATCTTCTGGCCTGACACAAAGGCCACCCTGTTTGTTCCCTGGGAGCTGAGCTGTTCACTTCCCCTTGTGTGCAGGATGCTGTCCATTCTCAGGCAGGCAGCACAGTGTGGCAGGGGTCTCTTGCCCCCAGGTGACACGGCTGCCCCAGGGGCTGGGTCAGGTGGAAGTCTTAAGGCTGAGGGACCGTGGAAATGAGGGTGCAGAGTAAAATAGAACTGAGCCAGGGACTGCCTGTGGCCAGAGGAAATCCATGTCCCTTGTGTCTCTGCTGCTGTCTGACTACAGAACGACTGACTGTGCTTGTTCCACCACCCCTCAGTGGTGACCTGCAGGTTTCAGGAAGCGCTCACTGTACCTTCAGCACTGCGCAGAAAGCCATCGGAAAAGACAACTTCACAGCCATCCCAGAAGGGACCAACGGCATAGAGGAGCGAATGTCAATCATCTGGGACAAGGCAGTGGTGAGAGTCCCGCCAGGGAGGGGTGCAGAGTTGGCTGCCACCTCACACACCTATGCTCCTGCCCCACAGAGCTGGGCACCCAGCTGCTTGCCCCCTCTCTGACTCTGGGAGTCAAACCAAACTGGAGCAGGAGAGGCAGCTTTTGTAGGTTCAGGGTGAACAGCCTGGAGCTGTGACTGTGCCCCAACTTCTTGGTCTGTCTGGTGCCAGTGGTAAGATTAGCCTCAGCAGCCTGTGCCCAGCCAGCTGGCATCTCGTGTGGGAGGGAGTCTGGTGCTTCCCAGGGCTCTTAATCTCCCTTTCCCCAAAAAGACAACTTAGTTCTCTTTGTGTCCGAGCAGGCCACAGGAAAGATGGATGAAAACCAGTTTGTGGCTGTGACAAGCACTAATGCTGCAAAAATCTTCAACCTGTACCCACGGAAAGGGAGAATAGCAGTGGGCTCAGACAGTGATCTGGTTATATGGGATCCTGATGCAGTGAAGATCATCACGGCAAAAACCCACCAGTCTGTAAGTCCTGTGCTCATCTGTGTGAATGCAGGAGGGTGGGGTGTGAGTAGCTCTGTAGAAAGGCTGCCTGGCTGCTGGGAGTTGGTGCTGCCCTGTCTGTCTTTGAGGAGGAGAACTGAGCCCAGGCTCTGGGCGTGCCAGCTGTCACTGGATGTCCATGAGCCCTGGGCTCTGCACATGGTGCTTTTCTTGCTTGGGTGTTCTTCTCCTGACCCTGGCCCATGCAGGTGTAAGGGCACACATTTCTCCTAATATGGATTCCTTTTCCAGGCACAAATTTTTCCTGGCTTTGCCAGTGTGCTTTGTCCATGCCTTACCTCAAGCCTAAGTCCTGCCCTCCTCTGTTCTTGGACTCTGTCCTCACACTGAGCTTCAAAGCAGCAGGTCCTGGTTCATGTTGGGAGCTGTGTTGGGTTCTTACTGTGCTAGGCTAGTGAGCTTCAGGAGGCCTCTGAGGCAGGCAAGGCTGTTACAGGTGTCCTGTCCCTGCACTGGTGACTCCAGCAGCGAGGTGTGGGGACTGACCCACCCAGAGTGGGCAGGCAGTGCTCATATCCCTCCTGACCATTATCCCTGGGTTTCTGCAGGCGGCTGAATACAACATCTTTGAGGGAATGGAGCTCCGTGGGGCCCCGCTGGTTGTCATATGCCAGGGGAAGATCATGCTGGAGGATGGCAACCTACATGTGACCCAGGGAACCGGACGCTTCCTGCCCAGCAGCCCTTTCCCTGACTATGTCTACAAGCGCATCAAAGCCAGGAGGAAGGTGAGGAGGCAGAGATGCCAGGAGACAGAGCTGGGACACTGCTTACCCAAATCACATTTTACCTTCATAACTGGTTGTTCTTCCTCTGCTGTTCTTGCTGGACCCTGTAAGCAGTGCTGCAGACTGATGTATTTTGAATATATGGTTGTATAGCTGAGGCTTGGGTAGGCAGCTTTTCCCCTTGTGTTGGTGGTGTGCCAAGCTGGAGGCAGATGATCCTCGAGGTCAGCAGTGGTGATATCTGTCCTCATCCTGTCCTACTGCTGCAGGATTGTGGAGGGAAGTGCTGAGTTAAAAATTAGACTGGCTAAACTCGCCTTGTCCTCCCCCATTTGTGCAGCACGAGCCCCATCTGGGCTGTTGTGCCGGCTCTGCACACCTTGCAGGACAGGTGAGGGGCGGTTGGTGGGGCTGTGCCAGGCCTTGGCACTGCAGGACTGGAGGGGCACGGGGCTGGCAGTGAGAGTTCCTTCTGCAGGGGGAATGGGGAGCCAGGGGAGGCTGGAGTATGATGCTCCCTGGGCTCAGAGTGCCGCTGTCCTCTTGTCTCCGGTGACAGATGGCGGAGATGCATGCTGTGCCCCGGGGCTTGTATGACGGACCCGTGTTTGACCTCACCACCACCCCCAAGGGGGGCACCCCTGTGGGGTCAACCAGGGGGTCCCCCACGCGGCAGACACCCCCTGTCAGGAACCTCCACCAGTCTGGATTCAGCCTGTCAGGTGAGCACATGTGGTGGCTGGGCTGGGAGAGGGCAGAGCCACTGGCAACGTGTCCCAGCTCTTGGGGCAGGAGGCAGCTGGGAGGTGGTGTGGGGCAAGGTGAGTGCAAGAGTGGATCATGGCAGGGCAAGACCTTGTGTTCCTTAAAGGGCATGGCTGAGCTGCATGTTGCAGCAGAAGGAAGGCAGGCTGTGCCTGTGGAGGCCAGCACAGCATCCAGTGCTGCTCTTGCTGTCTGGGTCTGTTCATGGAGCATCTGCAGAGATGTTCAAGCCACTGCTCCTCTCGGGGTTGGAGTTGGGAGAGGGAGTAAGTTGCTGTAGGTAGCCTCAGGAGGCCCTTGGCAAGACCACAGGCTGCCTGACTGCTCAGTCCTGTGAAGCAAATGCTCTTAACTTTGCTCTCCCCCTTCCCTTTGTGCTTTCTTGTCCCTGTCCCAGGTACCCAGGTTGATGAAGGTGTGCGCTCAGCGAGCAAGCGCATCGTCGCACCCCCGGGAGGCCGCTCCAACATCACCTCCCTGAGCTAAATGTCCTGGCTGAGGAGGAAACAAAATCCCTGTTCAAGCAAAGGAAGAAAAATGGTACATTGGTGTTTTAAGAAGGAAAAGAAATAAACCTGTTCAGAAGAATCAATAAGCCTCAAGCCTTATGTTTCACAAATGCTACTTGCTACCTAGCTTTAAAGATGTTGCTTCATTTTGTTTTTGCATAGCCTTAAGGTTCTGTTGTTGTCACTGTTGTGGGTTCGGTCGGGTTGTGTTTTGCTCTTCCTCTCTGTATGCATGCAGCTCGGACAGGTCGCTGGTTCAGTGTGTTATTGGTGTTGAACGCGTGTGGGATGCCGTGATGTGGGACAGTGGGAACGGCCCGTGGGGTGACCCAGCAAGGGGGCAGGGTCTGGCCAGAGGCAGGATGTGGGATGGGGAGGGCAGGTGCACTGAGCTGGTAGGGGCAGGTGGGTCTGTCGTGTTCATGTCCTTCATCTCCACCCAACGCTCTGGCGTTTCACCACGAGGCCTACGGGGGAGCTCGAATCATCTCTGTAACGGCTGTCACAGCACCTCGTGTAAGGAGTTTTACTACTTTGTACACTTTATTAAAAAAAAAAGTTGTTCCTTCAAACAACTCGTGTTGCTGGCTGGCTCTTTTCTTCCTCAGGCGGCTGCTGCTTGGCAGGGGCGGTGCCCAGCTGTGCCCGTGGGGATCTGGGCCAGGGTGGCAGGAGGGGCTCAGGGTGGTGTTTGGGCTGGAGGGGCTGCAAGAATGGGCTGTCAGGATGACACAGTGTGGTGTCAGGGGTTTGGTGTAGCTGCTCAGGCAAAATAGCATGTTGCAAGTGTTTGTAAAAGCCAGTTTGTCCATGCAGTCTCTGGCTGAGCCTGGCCTGGCACAGGGGGCTGTGACTGCCCCACAAGAGCTGTGCCTGTCATCTCTGTGGTGACAGGGACTGGCTCCATGTGGCACTGCTTGGGCATGGCATTGGGCTGTTTTCTGTGGGCACCTGTAAGTTAAATGCTCCCCTTCCATCCAGCAGTGTCTGTCAGACTGAGAGGCACTGCCCTCTAAAGCTTGAAAAGCATGCAGAAAAAAAAAGTGATTGTTTTTTAAAGATTATGAAAATTAAGGGTCAGTTTAGGCTGTGCTAAACAAATACACTTTTTTTTTTTCCTCCTTCTTTAGTATTTGACCTTGAAATACTTATTTTAACATGCCTGCAAGTCGGGCAGAACAAGCTGTCCATGCAGCAGTCCTTAAGGGGCCAGGCCAGAATAGTTGTGCCAGGCACGGGGAAGGCTGTTCATGCTTACAAGCTTTGTGAAGTGCTATCAAGTAATTAAAGATTTTTCCCTGTTGCCCGGTGGTGATTAAGCTGAGACTGTGCCTCTGTTTACAGTGGAAGAGGGGAAGGGAGAGATGTTCGTAGAAATCTTTGGGGAATTTCTAAAGGTGCGATGTTCTTACCATTTAAGTACTTCAGTTGTTTTGGGTTTTTTGACCAGCCAGTACAGAGGTATTTCTGTAGCAGTAGATTTTTCCCCAGGAGGAGCAGGGCTGGTTTCCTTGTCTGGGACTCCAGATAAACACACTTGTGGTGTGTGGACCCCTACCTTGACTTTACCATGGCAATGACCATACTCTGGGGGCTCCACTACCCATTTAGTGCTGAACTAATTCCATCCAGACAGGCTGTGTCCTTTGGGTAAACAGGAGGCAAGGAGTTCATCATGCATTTGCTATATTGCTGAGAATGGGAAAAATGTCAAAGAAGGAGGGGAAACCTCAGGCCTGCCAAAGCATTTAAATAACAGCATCATTCCCAGCATTACCGCAGTAGAAATGCCTTGGCCAATCTCAGTCTTGGCCAAGACCACACCAGCAGTGCAGCCATTCCTGCAAGCAGTCCCTGCTTAAATCAAGTATGATTTCAATAGTAGAGAGATTAAAAATACACATTAAAATTTCCCTCTGGTAGCAGCAGTTTAACATGATGGTGAATGGATTTTTTTTCAGGCATTTTTCATGCTGGAAAAGCATCTGGATTCGTCAGTGCCTGGTTGTTACCTCTTGGTGTCACATCTGCAGGCCACGCCAGCCCTGCTGGGTATGTGGAGAGAGGAGAGGGAAAGGGACAGGAAACCTTTGCTGCCTCCTCCCAGCTAAGGAAGGAGCTCATTGCCAATTCCAGCCCCCCATGCCCATCCTCACGAGGTGTTCACAGGAGCTGTCTGTAAGCAAATTGCAAGGAAACACCCACAGCTTCTCCCCACACACAGGACCCTCTGGCTGTGGGGTGGCAGGCTGAGGTGGTGGGTGCCCCAACTCCCCCTGGTGCCCTGGGCTACTGGCAGGGTCCTGGTAGCAGAGTCCACGGTCCAATAAGGTGACAGTGTGTGGGTGGGCAAGCCCCAGCCCCACGGGGAGGTCTCCTACAGGGGCCGTGCTGCTCTCAGAGGTTGTTGTTCTGGTTGTCCTCCCTGTATGTCCCTCCGCTTTTTGTCAGTGGTGTGGTCTCCTGGATGCTGTCTTGGTGGTGTCTCACCCTTGGGGACAGAGAAGGACAGCTGAGCTGTGTGTGGGGAGGGCCCATGCAGAGCCAAGACCCCACAGTGGTGCAGCTGCATGGGAGCACCCCACTCCCTGGCCCCCTGAGCCCACTCAGAACTGGGGCTCCCCAGCCCCAAGCCCCTCCCAGTCCTAGGCCCCCTCAGCTCTAGACCCCCCAAACCTGTCAAAGGCTTTGGCAAGGGCTAAAGCCTCTTTTTCTCCCTCTGGATCAGAACTTACTTTTCTCTGTTGAAAACAATGAAGTCCCTCTGGAGCGTCTCCAGGTGCTTCTGGATGTGGCTGGCCTTTCACATTGGAATGGAGAAATAAAAGAGATGGGGAATAAATTCACAGCTGACACAGAAAAACATTGCAAGGGCAATTTCAAGAAGGCACAGCGATATCTTTAGGCACAGAGCATCTTCAGTCCTGCAGTGGGGAGAATGGCATTAAGGCTCTCCTCTTGCACTAAACCAGTGCTTAAACATTCTGCCTTCAGCACAGGGAAGATGCAGGAGAGTTTTAGGAATAAAGTTGGTCACAAGGGGAAAAAAATACTCTGTTCAACCAGTTTGCTGTGGTCTTGCTAGATAGTAATCATCTTCCTTGGAAAATGAGAAACCTCCTTGACCACAGGGTTGTACCTGCTTGCTCTCACCTGGGAGGAATTGCTTTTGCCCGTGTCTTTCTCCTTCTTAGCCAAGCGCTTCTTCTTTTTGTGAAGAGGCTTGGATTCCAGAATCATTTCTTCCAGTTCAAAGGTTGGGTCACAGTTTAGTCTGCCTTTCTGGAGGGGAGAGATAGAGGCAACCATAAGTGGTCAGAGCCTGTCTTGAGGAGTCTGTCATAAACTGGACTGCACCTGAGAGCTGAATTTTGTAAAAAGGCACACTAATTACAACTGCACGTGCACCCAGAGCAACTGCTGTACTCCTGCCATGCTTTATCAGTCCCTTCAGCCAGGGGGCATATTCAAGGTGTGACAGTCACTCTTTTTGTGCTCCTGCTTCTCCTCTGCCCTTTGGTGGCTTCAGAGTGACAATGAGGATGAGGACAGTGTCCTGGCTGGGGTGTGCCTCTTTGGGAGTAGCACAGCAGCCTGCAGAACTGGTCTTAAAGCAATACAGAATCACACCCACAGGGGAGGGAAATACATACAATTAATAAATATTCACAGTTTACCTCAGCTTCTGTGTGGCTGAAAACTGCACACAACAGCCCTCGGACTGTTCTCCATAAGGAAAATGTTACTTGTGTGCTGCTTTAATCCAATTAAAAAAGGCTCAGAAACACTAATCTAGTGTATGTGCTATTTACTGTGAATAATGAGCTAGTTAGGGCAGGCATTACAGGAGGAAACAGTTCCCATAAGATGGTGGGTGATCTCCAGGCTGCTGCTGAGCCCATTCTGGTGCACTGGGTGTTTGGATGTGGGGAGCAGCATTGTCCAGAGCACGGCTCACAGGCACTGCCCACATGTTCCATCCCACATGGACCCCCAGCCCAGAGCCTGTAACACCAGTCCTGCACCCAGAAATTCCAGGAACAATATAAACAGGGCAGATCAGTTTTGGGGCACCCACACTGCAGCCACCGCCATTACTCTTTATTACACCCACAGGGAAGTGACAGCCCTGCCCCGGTCTCCCTTTTCCCCATTGTGACACCTGATGCTCCAGTGGAAGTTTGTCAGAATGTCCCATGTCCCAGTGCCAGGCGTGAGGACAGGCTGTGACACTTGGGCGCATTGGGAACCTTTACACTCAAACGGCCTTACCGTGGGGATGAATTCTGGCATTATCCTTTTCTGGAGAACAGCATCCCAGTTCACATCAGACAGGTATGGGAAGGCCTGGATGTCCTTCAGCCGAGAAAAACGTTTCTCGGGGTTCAGCTCGAGCAACTGCAGTGAGAGTTAAAGGGAAGAGATGAGACCATCCCCACGGGGCACACGCTCCGTGGAGTGGAGCTGAGGAACAAGTGGCACCAGTGACACTGCATCACTTGGACCAGTGCCTCTCTGCTGCTCTGGCTCAGAGTCCCTTCACCAGGGTATGCGACAGGCTCACAAGCTTTACCTCCATTTATTCCTATTTTTATGGATGATTTTTATCCGCATTGGAGAAGCGGGCTTTGAGGCAGTACAGTGGCATTAAACAATTTGTCCAAGGGTAAAAATAAGCGTTCAGAACCGGGAGTTAAACTCAGGCCTTTGTGTTCTGCATTTAATACTGTATCAGTAAAACATCCCATTTTCTCACTCTACTAATGGAATATTCTTATTCCAGCGTGAAAGTGTGCCTTCACACTGCTTATTTTCAGCATTTTTTAACACTGCTGTAGGAATTACTTGTGTGGAAGGAAAGGGTTGAGATTTGTCTCTGTTCATTGCATAAACTCCTGAGAACACGCAGTCCAAAAATGCAGCAGGAAAACCAGATGATCCAAACCCTCTGGGGAGTGTGTGGACACAGTGACCCCCCCAGCCCTCCTCATGCTGATGTGCAGCTGGGCACACAGCAATGTCCCCACCACCCACGTCCCTCCGGGCTCCAGCCCAACGCCAGCCCTGTGGCTCTGCGAGGACAAACATCTGCCTCGGACGTTAATAAATACACAGCTCCACAGGGGATGGCTGAGCCAGGAAGGAGCTGCAGTTGGCCTCATATATAATACATCTGGCTGTTAAACCAGATGCAAAGGGACACTGGGAAATTTAAATAATTGTGACATTGCATTATTTATTCACAAGGGAGCCTCCATGGCTTGCAGCATGCGGTGGTTCCAGGGGAAAACTTTCAGCACAGAGACACAGAGGACAGCTGCAGTAAATATCCCTGTATTACTGTTAGCTCAATGAAATATTGGCTTCATTGAATTTTAAGCAAATGGAAATGTTCTTCAATTTTCTTGCTGGAAAATAAGCTGTGATTCTGTCTCAGCAAAGAATTGATGGCCTCTTTTCATAAAAATGTTTCAGAGTATTTCATTAGAAATGACAGAATACTTACACATACTGTTTGGAAAAAAAATAGATGAAAGCTTCATTAAGTACTACTTTATGGCCTACACTTATTTGAAAATTAGAAAATTATTTACATGCATTCCCAAAACGTGGTGCCTGTGCTGCTGTGCAGGGGTCAGTGCTCAGCTTTGCTACTGCTGTGTGCAGACAGTGTCTGACACTGTCAAGCCACAGTCTTGTTTATTGAAGCTGTGGCTTCACTTCAGATGGGATTTCAGCTTCAAAATGATTCCAGTAATGATTTTGAAGCAATTCAAGATTTTAGGGGTTATTACAGCATAGGAAGCTCTATTGAAAAAAAATTGCAGTGGCGCATAAACCACATGGCATCAAAGGATTTCAACAGTGTCAGCACTTCCTGCAAATATTTCCACTGTTGGGAAAAATGGGTTTTTTGAGGATTAAAAGAAAAATCTTTTTTTTTGCTAAACTTATTGACACATATATCAGTATCTGCTTCTAAGCTAGGTCATTCCAGAGAGCTGGAGGAAACTCTGGAAGTGAAGGCTACCGTGTCCTCTACCTCCTTAGAGGAGGTGCAGCAGCAGCCGTCACCGCTGCCAGGCTGGGACACAGCACTGCTCACTGCCATCACCTCCAGCAGCTGAGCACCAAACACTGACATTTACTACACGGTGCCACCCAAATGTCACTGACTTCAGCCTGGACACTCTTTGCAAGGACTCCCCTCCGGTGCACTGCAAGTGGCAGGAGCACTGGGCACACCCCAGCCCCTCGCCCGCCCCTCGCCCACCTCACCTTCTTGATCAGCGCCACCATGTCCGGGGACCACGCTGCAGGGTACATCACCTTGGCTGTCCTGAACACGTGGGCGATTTCGTTTGTGGAGGTGTTGGAGCGAATGTGATACGGCCTCTGTGGGAAATGCCACAAGGAAAGCACCTGAATTTATCTGCTTTTTCCAGGACTCCTTAGGAAGTCTGTTTAGAGCGTAGCACAGTCTCTCTGTCCAGTCCCCAGCCTCCCGTGGGACATCTCTCCCTGTGTGACCGTGGCTTAGTTGAAATAAACAAAACATCAGCAAGATCTATGCTAATATCTGGACATTTAACAGTGGGACAGGCAGGAGCAAAGACCAGAAATCAGAACTAAAACCAGCATGGGTTTACTTAGCCTTACCAGTGTTTATATCTTATGACACACAGTGATGGGTTTAGAGCATTCCTGATATTCCCTGTAAAATGTGTCAGTGTTTCCATTTCTCCACTCGTGTTGGGGACAATGCCAGCGAAAAGGAGCTGGATTTCTCCCACTGATCAAGTCAGCTCAGAAAGGGATGTCCCAGGAAGGGTAAGCAGACCCAGGTGGGTGTCAGGCTGCAGGATGACCATCCCTTCTGCCCCGTGACCGGTGTCATAGCACTGGGACGGGTGAGCCACTGCAGAGAAGCACATGGCACAGCAGAACACTGGGGACTCCACCTGCATCGACGTGCAGTGCATGGCTGGAGTCACCTCCCTGCTTATCTCCCAGCTACAACAATACTGCTGCCTTACCCGGAGAGACAACTTACGATGGCAGGCTGTTTCCATTTGGAAAGTTTTGATTATCAGATTTTTACCTTATATCGGGGGGAGGAGAGGGGGCGTTAAAGGCACATTTAAAAAATGGTAGCTATAAACAGTGAGATCAGATCAGGAGCAGTGTGCTTGACGTGTGCCGACACTAGATGGACCTCAAGGTCTCCCTTCGCTTCCCCCTCGCGGCAGCCACCCAGGTGCCACCATCTCGCCGGGGCTGTGCCATCAGGTGTGAGCATGCAAAGGCACCTCTGCTCCTGCCCTTGGAAACAGTGCCATCGACTCAAAAATCAATGTGATGCGCAGTCCTGACATTCATTTACCGTTATAAATGAAAAGCTCAAATATTACATTAAGATGTTTACAGGGATGTGGCTTCAGTTACCCAAGAGGTCAGACAGCCACATCCCTTCCATATCTGCTAACATGATCCCTCACAATTTGAGACACACAGATTCAGCTGAAACATCTCTTAATCAAAACATTGTTTTAGGCATTCTGCAAAGACTTATGATAGAGGTTTTTAAAAAAAAAGTTTTGCATACTCATACTGAAAGAAGTTTCCGAGCCTCACATGATTTTCAACGTTCTTCTTTAAATTACATTCTCCTTTTGTTTCAAAGAATGTAATTTTTAAAATGTTGTCCCACTTTTTTTACACAACACTTGCAAAACACTGATGTATTTGTCTGTCTACAAGGCCCCCAATCTTATCTGTGTCTTATCTGTGTCAGCAGCAGAGCCCTGATAGCACAGACAGGGATTGGGCTTTGTCCGTCCTTTGCTCCAACTGCTCAGTCTGATTGCAACAGCAATGAGATTTTCCTTCAAGTTTTTCTTTTTTCCTTGCAGGATGGGAGCTCCAGGTAAAGGACACTGCAGACCTCAGGAGCTGTTCCTTGTTTGCCTTGCCCTGCTTATGCCAACCCAGAGGCCCTCAGCTGCAGTGGGGAACCACCACCACATGGTGTTCTGTATTGCAGCAGCTTCTCTGAGCTCTTGGCCATCACAGAAGCCGTGGTGGACATGTAGTCTCTGCTTCCTATACTGTAATAACCCCTAAAATTTTGAATGTGGCTTGGCCCTCTCGTGCCTGCTCTAAAGCATTAACATTCCCAACAGGACAGAGCCGGCCAGGCCGGGAGCCGCACACGTACCCGGGTCCTGAGCAGCTCGTAGGCAGTGACTCCCAGTGACCACCAGTCCACGGCAAAGGAGTAGCCGGTGGGTTTTGTGGAGTTAAACATCTCAGGTGCTGTGAAACACAGGGAAAAGAAAGTTTGCCTTGCTGCAATCCCAAGTGGGAATGAGCAACACAGAATGCCTGACCCACGCCCCTCCCGTGCTGCTCCTGCAACCAGCGGTCCCCAGCAGCCCCACAGCCCCCTGCACATGAACTCTCAGTGCTTCTCTGCCCCCAAATCCCAAAAGGAATGAATTCCTTTTACTGGCACAGGCGTTGCCCGTCATCCATAGTAAATGTGCTCCAGGAAGCCTCTGTGCCCCAGCAGCGCTCGGCAGATCTGCACGTTGGGAAGCTGCTCCCATCCCACTCATCTCTTTGTTCATATTTAAAGCAGTTCAATCTGGCAGAGCCCAAATCCAGTCTCAACCATCAATGAAAGCAGCTCTCTGGGAACATTAATATGCAGCGTAAATGCAGATGTGGTGCCAACTGCACCCTTGGCAGGAAAAACAAATTTTAACTGAAGGAAGCCTGAGAGCCACAGCTTTTAATGGGAAACTAGGGGGAAGGCACCGACTGAAATGTTCTTTCTTAGCCAATTAATTTCCCTTTTGAGAGCAAGGAAAAAAACTTTGGAATTTTTGTACAAGCTGGGAGGCAGAAATTGATCTAAACCCAACCAAGGAGCAATGCTTTTTTACAACCACTCTTGGTCTAAACACAGAGTGAAGCTAGTTTTCAGAGCAGCCATTTTATATAAAAATTCAAATTATTGCTAGATGATGCAGCAGCATAAGACTTGTGCTGATGCATCAAGGGACCAAATACAAACCTTTGTGCTTCATTTTCCCTTCTCAAGGGTTGCAGAAGCACTTCATCATCGCTACACAGCGTGACTGCTGCTTGTGAAATGCTTGGGGATCTCAGGAGTGCAACCATCTTAGTTTATAATCAAACCCATGCTGTACAGCATGGCATCATGGCACTAAAATCTGTGTTTGCAGTGTACTCAAGTCTGTCTGTATTTAGGATTCACAGAGGGACAGAGTGCACGTTCTCCAGCTGCACTGAGGCATTCCCTGTCCCTGCCCCGCAGCCCCTGTCCGGGGTGCCCCTTATTTCAAACCAACATGGATATTTTGGAACAGACAAGGAAGAAAAGAGCCCAAACCCTCATCAAAAAGGACTTCACCTGTGTCCCACCATAAAATGGTAATTCAAGAACATGTAACTGGTGTTGGTTCTCACCCATGTAGGGCTTTGTGCCAGCGATGGTGGTGACATGGATCTCCTTGGTCAGCATCGTGGCGATGTTGAAATCGGTGATGTGTACATGTCCTGAAAGACAGAGGTCTGAATCAGAAATGTGAAGTAAAGTACTCCATGGAAAGAAGTTTCCAGGAAAAAAATATTCTGAGTGGGAGAACTGATAGAAAATATTTCAGCTTGCAGGCTGCTTGCAGATGTGTCTTATTACTTCAAATATCCCCTTATTTTCCCTTCAGGGAGCAAAAAAATGGGAGTTCTCCAAGAAGTAATTTAGTGATGATTGTTTTGAGTCTTCCTAAATTTGAGGGGAAGAGAACTGAACTTTTCTCACAGGAAAAAATTCCACTCTGTTTTAAAAAATACTTAAAAAAAAAAAAAATCCCTGATGTTTGGCTTTCTAGTTGCTTTCCATTTGGTGTTCCAGGTACTAAGCACTGCCTCCATTTTCCTCTTTAGAGGATGCCTCCAGTATGGAACCAAACACCTTTGGCAGCCAGCAAAACAGCCTTGCACAGAAATCCAAACATCATGAAACCCCCCTGGGGTAGGAATGGGCTCTGTTGCCACGGCTATAATGTGCACAGCTGCTGCCTGCAAACCAAAAAGGAAATAAAAGAGGTGGATGTGATCCACAGGGGGATGAGAAAGGCAATGCTCCCACCTAGCTCCTTCCTGCACTTTTACTTGCCTTTTTCGGTTTTTCAGGCACTCAGTTTATTTTTCCCCATTCACTGAACCGCTGTCTGGGAGCGGAGCAGCCCCACATGGAGATGCAGGTGATCAGACCCAGATGGCTGCACTGAAGAGAATCTCTCTGAAACTTGTGGATTAGTTGAGCCCAGTTCTCCAGATCAAACACAGCCAGGCTCCACTTCCCCACCTCCTTCATCTGCTCGTCAGGCACCGAGCCTGCTCACCCCTGACAAAGGTGAGCTCATTATCAACACATCAGCTGTTCCATGTGCTGTGTTTTGTAGCCTCATTGCCCCCTCGGCAGTAACAGAGGGGAGCTGGGTTGCTGCTGTTTTCTCTAACCACAGAGATCGAAGTAAAGTGGCTTTTGCTGATAGAGATGCTGTGACAACACCTTCCTCAGTCATTAGCTTCAAACAGCTAGAAATCCACTGCTGCTCTAGTTCCTGAGTTAAAGCAGAATAACATCACCTTTAAAGGTCTAAAAGTTGATGCTGTGGCAATGAACTCCTGTTTCCTTGTCTGTATACTGTGAGCATTTAAGTAAATATTTACAGCTGTGCCTATATATCTGTTCTGTGAGAGCAGTGATACAAGTTGCCTGCTGCAAATACCTGATCTAGCTGGGAAAATGTGGAGGGTAAAACTTGTGATTTCACCTGAAACCTCTGTATCACACTCACGTCCTGGTGAGTTGTGGCACTGCTGGCAGAGCACAAACCAGGCATTGGCACTCACCCCTCACACAGTCCCCAACAGGAGCACGTGTTCCTCCCTGCTGCTCACACCATCCACCAGCACTCACTCCCACAGTCTGCCCACTAAAGAGCAGCATCACATCTCTGGGGAGCACCTGGGAGAAAGAATGACATCCAACTGCCCTGCCCGGATACGTCTCCTGCATCCTTGTGCTGTTTTTCCTTTCAACTCCAGCTCTCGTTCCACCTTGTGGGGAGCTGTTTTCATAAACATGAATCATAAAGGCTTATTAAGAATTTTATATTCCAAGCACAAACATGCCTTCCTCTGGATCCATCTTTTAAATTATTCACTTCAAACAAATCACAAGTTTTATAAACTAGCCCACTTGAGAAATGATCAAATCCAGCCAGTGAGGCTGAGGAAGGGGCTCAGGGCAGTATGACAAGGCTGAACAGTGATGGCAGTGTGACAGACCGGGGTGGGAGCTACTGGTGCCCCCATGAGGGTTGTACTGGGGTTTGCTGCTGGGCTTTAGGGTCAAACCTTAAGGCTTGTGTTTTCCTGATTGCTCTGCATCTCTGATTGCAGGCAGTTCCCCAAGCCCAGCCTGCCTTAAACTGGCACTGCCAGACCAATCCTTGGGTTTGCCTTAAGGCAAACAATTTTCTTATTGCATTCAGCACTTCTGTTACTTCATAATTCCTTCACCTTTCTAGAACATCTTTTGTGCAAAAGATGTAAGGTTTCTGCAGATTCAACTAAGAAAACATTTTAAAGGATACGAAATTAGAGACCCCAGGAGCTGTGGAGCCTCTTGGACAGGCTGTGCTCTAACTTTCTCACCTGAGATGAGGGAGCAAACGTGCTATGCCTGCACTGGCATAATTCACCCATGGCAGCACTGCCCTAGAGAACCTTCTAGCAGCAGTACAAGACAGGATCCTGAGCACAGCCATTACAGGGCTCTTGCGAAAAACCCCTGTTTTACCAGAGATAAAACTGAGCCTTTCTTCAGTTTTATTAGACAAATGACCTGGTCAAAAACTCCTGATGAATTAGCCACAATTCCCAGAAACTGCCATCTGTTATATCCATTCATTCCCAGGTGAGCTGTGCTGTCACTGAGCCAAATTGATAGATGTGTCTTTAAAGGAGGAAATCACTTTGTGCTTGGAATGACTGCTGGAGGTGTCATCTGCTGGGGATTTTTTCCCTGGGGGACCTGATCCCAATCTCTGATGTTGAACAATGGCTCTTTTATTGCACAGAAAGGCATTTGCCTGATATTCCACTTTATTTATGGCTCGCGTTAATTCCTTGCCTGAAATTGATATGTCACCAACTGGGGGTGACAGAGGTGAAAGTGAGAGGTGTGTGTCAAGTCTGTGACAGTCAGTTCAGGACAACACATTTCAACCAACCTGTGGCATAATGAAAGGCGAGAAAAACTGAAACCAGCCTCCTGCACCAAGATCAGGTGATGTGCACGAGGGCTCCCGTAGCCTCCTTGGCCATGAACACCCACGAAAAGGGTGCCAGGGTCTGTAACAGAGCTGAGGGCCTTTCCAAACTTAAATCTGAAGTGTGAAGGAATCAAAGCTGTAAAGGAGCTTCACAGCTGGAAAGGGAGATGGGCCTAAGGGCAGAGTTAGGGGGCAAAAGTTGCCTAAAACATCAAGGACTGAAGTCTGCTTGCTGAAGGTCTTCAGGTACTTCATATTCTCAGGGGTCTGGTCCCATCAACAACATCATAAAAAAATTAGTCTTAGCAAATTGCATCTATTTTGTGGTCCCAGTTGGGAAAGTGGGATGGTGATGAGAGAGGAGAGAAAATGGGGAGCTGCAGCTCTGCACCACAGGGAAGGAGATACTGAAAAACAACCACGATCTTCTAGGCTAAATATAGATAAACATGCAGCTACAATAACAGCTACTCTGGGGACAAGAAAAAATTGAACTCTGTGTGTGACCAAAGCTTTCTGTATGCCTTGGAGGACACACCTTTGCTGCCATAGATGAAAAAAAAGGAATACTACAAGTCACAGAGAGAAGGACACTGGAGTCAAGGGTATGTCTCCAGAAAAAACTGAAACCTCTGCAAAACACAAGTAAAACATGTGGCTGAACAGGGAGCAGGCTCAAAACTCATCCTGAATTGCAGTGTCATTATAGAAGTTTGCAGGTTGCATCCTTCTGGGCCAAATGCAACTGCAGAGATGAGCAGAGCTTTTCCCCTGTTTTTTTCCCTCTTTGGGGAGCACTGACCTACATTCCCCTGGCCACAGGGATCCCAGCTCCTCCTGGGGGGCTGTGTCACCCCAGACAGAGGGGTGCAGAGTTCTGGGGAGTGTCTGCCAGTGAGGGCTGACCAAAGATAGCCCTGTACAGGGAGCTCCAGCACTGCCAGCACAGCAGCTCCCCAGCACATCAGTGAGGTCAATGCTCTCCATGGGCTGAGCAGGGGGCAATAGCCAGAGAAGGACCAAGTGAGGCAGGACAGAGGCTCCAGCCCCTGGAGGCAAAGCTGCTTTGTGCTTCCAGCTCCTAAATAAATAATCAGCCAGTGCTCTGAACTTAGAGGTTGGATGCAAACAGATCGAGCCTGGGCTCGGTGCTGCCAGGCAACCCTGGTCACACACACGGTCACACAGAGCCAGGTGATGCCTCCCTTGGGAGATGCAACATCTCTGCTGCAGCCTCTGAAGTGATAACAGATTTGGATATGCCTCTTCCCTGCACTGACTTTTTCTCTTGAATTGCCTTGCTGTAGCTGCTAATTAAGATTTCTCACAACAAGTCAGTTACACGGATTTTTCAAAAAATATGAGATGACAAAGTGTTCCTCTAATGAGTTACAAGCTATATCGGAAAACTCTTCACTGTGAGAGGTTTGTTGGGGAAAAAAAATGTGACTACAGAGTCATGCAAGAATATAGTCAAGGGTTTTGCCTGGGGAACACTATTGAAGAACTGATAGCAACATCTATAACATACTCAGCCCTAAATCCTCTCTGGAGCTCCCTCCCAGTGCCAAATGCTCAAGGAAAAAGAAAACACCCAAATAAGAATTATCTGCTGCACCATAATTCATTCTGTTTGTGAGTGCACACTACACAAACCCTGCAGTGGCACAAGCATCACCCTTCAAACAATGCATTTTGAGTAAGTTTTAAGCAAGAGCCAAGAAAGTGTTAAAAGCAGCAACTGACCCCAAGCAGCACCAGTGTGGGGTCCCTGCCAGTGCCTGGTAGGGTCATCATCAGGTCAGTCAGCCAAAGGAGGTGTTGGTTAAACACTGAGGCACCCCCAGAAGCAGCATTACAGTGCCCTGGAGGTATGAGACACTGCCACTCAGAAAGCAAGTGAAGCACAAAAGGATGGGATGGCACCACTCCCACCTGGGTCGAGGGAAAGAGAGCAACACCAAATGAGGACACCAGCAAGCACCGAGACTGCAGCTTGGGTCTCCTGTCTCTGACTCTGCCTCTACACTTACACACGACAGCAAAGCAGCTGGCACTTACCGTGCTCATCCAGTAAAATGTTGTCGGGCTTGATGTCTCTGAGAAAAAAAGCAGAGAAGCAGAGACAGCCATTAGCCTAGAGAAGGGTCAGGAAACACGGCTGCAGGCACTGCAGGAAAGCCCAGGCTCTGGGACACACTGGCAGAGACACCGTGCCCTCAGGGCTTCTCAGCTCTGATGTTCCTGTTTGATTTAGGCATTAGACAGTGACTAATCAAACAGCACCAGCAGCAGTGGGTACAGGGCCAGGGCTGTGAAGGCTGCAGAGATTCGGGTGAGCAGCACTCAGGTGAGTCCACCCACAGTTAAGTTAGAGCTTGTTTTTAACATTTTCCTCTGGTTACATCTCAACCTGTTTCAATACTCTGTCAACAATGGAATACTCAGCACAAATTAAATTATTTTAACATCTTTGGTCTAGAAACAAACATGTTCTCCATGGGTTTTGTTCCTGAGTAAAAAAACAAACCCACAAAATAATACCTATAGCAATGCTGTAGGGAAACTTTCACTGAAGGGAGGAGACGTACACCTGATACACTGATACACCCATTGTGTCCACCTGAGTGACTTTACAAGCTATTACCTGGCTTTAATGAGCTCATTACACCAGCCACCATTGAGTGCCTGCCCAGCTGATGCCATTCAGTGCCCCAGGGAGAAGGTCCCAGCCACAGGGCAGGCAACAGTGACCCTCTGCCAGCTGGTGCTCCCCACAAGGCCCAGGGGTTCCAAGGGAAGAAATGAGCAGGTTTAGGATTTTATCTTTGAAAATTTGATCCCTAAGATACAGTTTGAGTTCACCAAGCCACCTGGAATCAGGAAAACACAATATATATCTAATTGTCATGTAATAGCTTACAGCTCTCTGGCCTCCTGTCACCCAAATTACTTCCAGTGGATTACAAACACCAATTTCCTTCCTGGTGCCATCCCCATCACCCAGGTAAACACAGGGACAGGCCTCATTAGCAGAGCATGGGGCCGTGTCAGGTTAAGTGGCTGGTTCTCCCCATAAGCACAGCAGAATTGTTTTCATTTTTTTTTAATTATTATTTTTTAAATTTCTAATGTGGCTTTTTCTGATTTCCCTCAGTTTGGCATGCAGCCTCTGGAATTACACCAGAACAGTAAGATCATTCTCAGGACGCAAACAATGACCAGGGGTAATGCTGACTATTGTTTATTTGTGTATTTCTTTTTCATAAACTGGTTGTACCATTTCCTAACCTAAAAGATATTAATATTTCCTATTCCTTTTACACCTAGATGTGAAATAATTCGAGCCTGTGTTTGCTGTCTCTGCACAGCTTTGTTCAGCCACACGAAGCCACTGCTTCCTTGTCTCCTGATGTTCCCAATTACAGCTGTTGCAGCTGTAATTGACTCAGCTGAGTCACTTTATCTATCTAATACAGTCCCACTGGGTTACAGTGTTAATTAAACAACTTTCATTACAGTGTTAATTAAATAACTTGCAAATTTTACAGCCTGCCATACATGTTTTGTTGTACTTAATTCACCTTAAACACATGCAGCTGCATGAAGTGCACACTGCAGCCTCACTTGCAGCTTCACATTCACACTGGGGTAGAGATCCACGCAGGTTTGGCACAAAACAAGCAGCATGAAAGAGGAGACCCCTGGGAAGGTGGGAACTGTCCCCAGGGTCCCGCCCCGACCACATCAGAGCAGAACCACTCCGGGGTCTCGGGGCTCTGGGGGCAGGTGAGGTTGGTTGTTCCTCCCTCACTCCTCAGATATGGCAGCCAGACACTGTGGACAGGAACAGTTCATCCTCACCAGCCCCTCCCCAGTGCGTGCCTTCCCCACCGACAGCCAGGACCATTTCAGTTTTACTCTCTCGGCCACGCTTAATTCTTGCACTGCACAAGAACGCTCCTCTGGAGTGATATTTATAAATGAGGTGACCTTCTCCCTGCCTTTATTGACCCTCATAGTCCCTCCCTGCTCATCCTCCCTGACAGCTACTTGGTCAAACCCGTGGGTCCCCAGGGTTGTGCTGCCCATGACACCAGCAGGAGAGAGCTGCATGTCCATCTGTCCAGAGCCAAACTCTGCTTCCCAGCCAGGGAAAAACTCTTCCTCCTCTGCTACTCTGCAGGTCTTCAAAGGTGTGGCAAGAGCTCACACACATTTTTTCACTGGCCATGAGAAATCTTGGTAGCCAAATCCTAGAAAGGGATTTACTTCACACAGAAGAAAGCTGTGTTTGGGCCCATTCCACGTATTTTGGAGAGGGGGACAAAGGGAGGCACCTCCAAGTCTGAACATGGGGGAGTTGTAAGTGCTGACACCTACCCTCCCTGGACCAGGACAGATATTAATGAGCTACAGCTAATTAAACTTATTAGAGACAGCTTTTTGCAGGATCAGCAGACAATCAAATATGCTATTTCACAGCTGCCCCAGAGGGAGAAATCAGATGCTCTCTGCTGTGTATGAAATGCTTTTCTTGAGGAAGCCTCGTGTTCCACGTGAAAACAAATGTACACGGGAGAATATTTTGTTTAGCACTTAAGCTTCTATTTGTCATTTCACATCAAAGAGGTACGAGCCTTCCCCCAGTGCAGCCTGTGGCCATCAGCCCTTCCAAGGTCCCAGCTGACCTGTGGATGATGTGCCTGCTCTGCAGGTAGTCGAGGGCCAGCACCAGCTCACAGATGAAGAGTTTCACTGTGCCCTCTTGGAAGCGCACGTTTTGTTGGAGGTGGTAACGCAGGTCCCCTCCAAGCAGCAGGTCGACAACCATGAACATGTCCTCTTCATCCTGGAACGAGTACCTGAAACAGCACACCCATGGTTCAGGGATGGTAACACTGAAAAACAACAGGTCATAAAGCGACATGTGGTACCTCTGGGAATACTCATCATTTCTTGGAACTTTTCACTTGAGAAATTAAAATTTCATGACCTTTCCATGCTCCATTTCCCACTGTGACTAAAATCCTATGGTCACACTTGTGATGACAGTAATTTAGCCTCAGATCCATACCAGAGTCAGAGCAGACAGACAACTCCAGACAGACATTCTGCCTTCTCTGAGCACCTGTGGGAAGTGACCACAGGAGCAACACAGAGGAGCCCTGGCCCAGCACAGCCCTGCCCAGACCCTCAGGTCTCCCTGTCAGGTGCCAGCTCTCCCAGCAGCAGCCTGTCCATGAACCCATGTGCTCAGCACGCCAGGGGTGCAGCTGCTCTCTGCCAGTCCTCTGTAAATGACCTTATTTGATGGACTGTTTACCCAGTGTCCCTCTGAGAGGGGCAGATCACCAGCTATGAGCCCTTTCCTCATGGATTTTTCCTTACCAACACACCAAGTGCTGGATGGGATGAGCAGCACCACAAACCAGACCACTGCTCCACACAAAGCTTACAGTCTGTATATCTCTCAGAGTGCAGGAAAGCCACAGGAATGGCAAAGGCATTCTGAGGCCAGGGAAGGCATGGCAAGAACAGGGACACTCGGATGGTTTGCTCCATACAGGTCTGTACATATGCACACACTGGTCAGTTCTCAGCTGCTGAGTGAGCTTTGCCTGGAACTGTGTGTTCAAGTAGGAAAGCAAAGTATGGAGATACGACCTGGGAGGTGTGGCTGCACCTTTCCCACTCATACCCCACTGAGAACAACACTGAATGGCAGCTGCAGCAAAATCCCGAGGGTTCACCAAACAGCACTCAGGTTACAGGAGATTTCAGATAGGAACAGTAATTCAAAGATTTGTGATCTTCAGTGTGTTTTAGCCTCATTTCTTGTGTTTAGCATCGATAAGTTCTACCTTATTCTAAAATTGAATCCAATTTCCAATAAATGTAATTACCTACCACCCCAGAGGACTCCTATAACTATAGGATATTAGCCACTTCATCACGCGGTGTATGAGCTCACACCACTTGGAATGTTACTGGTGTCCTAATAAAATTAAGAAGAATGCAGTGCCAAGGGACACCCTGCACAGAGCCCTGCTTGGCCATCGATCCTGCGCTGCTGCTGGGAGCTGCTGTTGCTGCAAAGAGCACCATTAAATACAGGTGGGTTATGGTGATGGGCAATACCTGCCTGGTGGGCACTGCAAGGGAACACGTGAATAAACTCTCTTGTGCTGTCTGGGGAGACAAGAGAGACAGATCACTGCTTGTTTCATTAAACAGGATTCCCCTGAGACCAGAGCCCTGGTGAGCAGAACACACCAGCTGCTCCCAGGACAGGATTGCAGCACACCAGGGGGGTCTGGTCTCAAAGGTGTCTGTAACTGACTGTGCTGACTCGACCAGTGAACCAAGGAACCACCTCTTACCATAAATTAACCAAGAAGGGGTGTTCCAGACCCTGCATAATCTGCAGCTCCTTGAAAACATTTCTGACTTCATTACGCTCCACACACTTCTGTTTGTTCATGTATTTCATGGCGTACATCTTCTTGGTGTCGGTCTTTTGCACCACGCAGACCTAGGAGGGCAATTCAAGGGATAAATCAGAGACGATTTTTCAGCTAATGTGGACTGGTAAAACCCAATGGCATCAGTGTTCTCCAGTGGCTTTGGCAGAGAGCACACTGCCAAGGCACAACTGCATGCACAGATGTCACAACACTGGATGTTGCCCAGGAATCTCTTGCCTAATTTTCACCTAAGGAGAAATTTTGTGGGGAGGGTGAGCAGAATGAGTTTATCACCACAAGATGGGAGATAGGGAATGACACAGAAGTCAACATTTCATTTAATTTGACTCACTAATCATGGTCAGGTCCATCCCTCCCACACTAGGTACTGTTGGGGAGAGCCCCCTCCACCACAGAACTACAGTTCAGTCACTGGGAGCAGCTCCTGATCCTCGCCTTCCTCACTCAGCTCACAGTGAATCCTGGGCTTTGTTTGGGGGATACTGGCCTTTGAATGGTAACTTTCCTTATATACCCTCAAATCTAGAAAGTAACATCACTTCAAGGCAAGCCTCCAAGCCCGTGAGAGGGCACAACTCTGGTGGTTCGGGTTTGTTTACACAGCAGCTGGGATGAATTTGCAAGTTTCAGTCAAACTTTTATTTTTGCCTCCAGATAAATCTCTTTGTCTCTTTGTCTGAGAGTTTTGTTGCTCTCTGCACCCAAGCACATCCCGTTTCTGGCATCAGGGTGCCTTTATCTGAAGGGGTAAATGACCGTCTGTCAGCCTATGCAAGCGGCAAATTCCACAACAGCATAACAATAAAATGCATGACCGAAACCCGATGTTTAATAACAAACACTGTGCCTCACAGAGAAACATTTAACATACTAAAAACCCTGCTGGGCTTTCATATTGATTGTAGATCTTTATTAAATATGCATCATGATGTTCAGTGTTGATTTGCTGGGAAGTCTTAGGAAATGCTATTCAGAAACATAATGAAATTCAGTTCATTTGATTGATCAATTTCTCATTTTAATCTCCTGTAATATAATTTGTAGCTACAGAATGGATGAGGAATCGAGCTCTGAATCCTTCCTGATTACCAGGAGTTGAAGCTCAGGTCAAGGCTCACTGACAATGCCGGGCTTTGGTCCTGTGCTCTCATGCAAGCCTCCAGTTCACCCACTTCCTCCCAGTTACATCTCCAGCTGTCCACACAGTTGTTAGTTCCCAAAACACTCACTTTTCCAAAGCTGCCCTTCCCAATAGCTCGCAAAATCTCAAAATGGTCGAAGGTAACTGCAAGAAAGAGGAAACATTTCAATATTAAATGGCTGAGCAAACACTTGGTGATATTACATTATGTCTACTTTTTCCCCATATGAGCTGAGAAAAATGAGGGATACCCCAGCAATACTCTGTTTCTTTTGGAGATTTGGGTGTTACTTAAACTTGTCATTTAACAGGTTGGTTTTTTTTTCTCTCCAGCTCAGCTGCAAAGGCAAATTCCCTGGGTCAGCCTCTGTCAGTGGCAGATCAGGCAAGGAACCCCCAAGCCAATGCTCTCCCTCTGCCCTCCTGCCCTGCCTGTTAGAAATATCAGCCTCATCTTGCTCCTGCTGAGACCAAATGCAAAGCTTAGTCCATGAAACCCCTATACCACGTGAAGACACTGCCATTACCTTTTCAGGTAGGATGGCACAGTCTAACCAAAGCAAAGTTTACTGTGACCAGCTACAGCACTTGGAAGGAACATGAGCTTTTATGCCCTTTCTCAAACCCAGAACAGCTGCAAATATCAGAGTAGATACAAGCTGATGATGATGATTGAGTTTAAGTGGATCTGCTTGCCAGTGAGACCATCAGAGAGAAGGGTACCTGCAGAATAAAAAGGGAGGGTGAAGATGCTTATCACCTGCAGGGGAAGATGAGAGGGGTGCCTGCTGCAGAGAGAGGTCGGCTGCAGTAGCCCTGTGCCATGACACACAGCCTTGGCTGTGGGGAGAGGGGGCTCTCTGGTCCCCAGCACTGGGACCCCACATCCCCTGCAGAACAGGGCAGACCATGGCATTAACAGCTGGGCATTAACATCTGGAACAGCTGCACATCCAGAGGAGTTAGACCAGCAGCCAGTTTTTGCATGTTCACCCCCTGTATCCCTATTGTCCTTTACAGGAATGCTTTCATGAGCATGTTCACACCCTCTGCTTCCTTGTTGTTTAATACTGATGTTTTCATTAACATTTTAAACATGGGCCTATAACTGAGCTGGGTGTAAAAAACCTAAGTTGTATATTCTATTTAAGACTCTCAAACTAGGTAGAGGAACATTTAAACCTTTCTCTGGTTTAGCCTTCCTACCATCCCCAGCTTTCACAGGGAGTCATTCCAGAGTCTCGCTCCTTGAGAGCACTGAGGTTTGTGGTGTCCAAATCAGGAACCAAACACGTGCTGTTCATTCTGAACCCACACCTACAGAATTGACAAGCTGCATTTCCCTGCCTGATGGCATCTAAAGCAAAGAAAAAGCCAAAGCTTTTGCCCTTCAGAGAAAAACCTTATGTGCTCTGCCAACTCAGACAAATTGTGTTTAGGAGATGCAGAGGAAGATAATACAATTGCCATAAAGAAGCGACTGGGGTATAATCACGAGACACTGTTTTGTAAGCAGGGATCATATTTCTAAACTGAGGTTCAAGGAACAATATTTAGATTAAAAAGTACAGATCTCAACCAGCCACAAAAAACATCCTTAACAAAGACCAGTCAACCCTGCCAAAGTCCCCAAGCTCATCTGCCAGGCAAAGTCAGTGCTTCAGGAGCTCAGGTCCCCCCATCCCTGCTGCCCACCCCAGCACAGCGAGCACAGCACCACATGGTCTGTTACAACTCCCCTTCCTTTTCTCACTGTGATTTCCCTTGTTTTCATTATATTGCCTCCCTCCCTCTCTCCCCCCTTGCTCTGCAGCCTCAGGAAAACAAGTGTTGCCGCTCAAGGATCATGCCAGTCCCTCTGTACCGGGGAGTGGGACGTGGTGCAGACCCAGGCAGAGGAACAACAACGCAGCTGGTGCTCTGCTTGGTCCAAGGGCGATTTAAACCCAGAACAGCTGCTGGTGGGCTGGAGAGGGCACCAGTGAAGGACCATGGAATTATGTGTGTCCTTCTGACCCCACCACTGTCCTCACCTACTACCCCCCAGGACTCTTCCCACACCCTTCGGCACAGGAACAGCACAAACAAAATGGGACTTTTCACACGGTCTCATCCTGAGCACACCAGGAGTCAGATCACTTTGTAGCCCTGAACCTTCTGTCTGGTTATTACATTTTCTTTTCAGCTCACTTGCTTATTATCCACAATTATCAGAGGAAATGCTGAGAGAAAAATAGTACTCTCACCCTGCTTCAGCTGAAGGCAAACAAAGCCCTTCCAAAAGTTCAAATGAAAATCATGGTGCCACAGAAATGAGGGAAATTATAGCAACAGCAATTTGGGAAAATAAGTCAGAATCATTAGGATTGGCACTGGAGCACCCACACCACTTGTGCTGTTCCATCTACCCTCACAGGTCCCAAAGGAAAAGTCTCCCTGTGGCACAGCCATGGAGGTGGGACTGGTCCCCACTCCCCACAGTCTGGGGGAGGGACCTGCCCGTGCCATGGAACTGCTGTGCTGCTCCCTGCTGTACCCAGCAGCTCTTACTTAATTACAATGTAAGCTGAAATTAGAGTAAGGACAAGATTGTGACATCTAAGGTGATATAGCTTCTGGTCACTGATTTGCAAGATAATGGAAAATTCCATAGAGGACATCTCCGTTCCAGATGGATTTGTCTCCCCCCCAGTATATTAAAACATGCAAATTAGAGAAAAAATGTGCTACCACTTTTTAAATTTGGGCAGGGCCATGGAAGCAGAACTGCACTGGTCTGGATGCTGTGGCCCTGAGCCCACTGAAGCCCAACAGAGTGACGCTGAACCACTCAAGATGGTCAGGACGAGGCCCTTCCTGGCATTGCCGTGTTTCTGTTGCAGGAGCTGGTGCTGCGTAAACCACGTCAAACCCTGAGAGAGATCCAGCAGAGACCAGCCAACCCCAGGAAAATCCCACAGCCAGGGAACATCACCCTGAGGAAGGTGGTCAGGAACAGGAGAATTGCTCATCATTCTGAGCAAGCACACGTGGTTGTTTATGAGAGATGCCAAAACTGAGCATTGAGATGCACCAGGAATAAAATCTCCAGGAAAACCTCACAGCACGGATTCCTTTTGCACTACAGCAACTGGGGAAAAGTATGAAAACCAAAGAAAACTTGCAAGCAGTTACACTGATAAGTTGGAAACTGCAGCTGGTTTAGCTGAACAGCCACAGACCTGCAGTGGCACCACGGGACACACTGGACAAGCATTGGTGGGGTATCCAGGTCCTTGCATATTTTACTTTTAATTATATGTATTTGTATTTATCTACAGATGCATTTTGTTGTTGTACCTAGGTAAAAGCCCATATGGCAGTCAGCAAGCTGACTCATGCAACAGCAAATATATTTATGGAGCAATCTTTTAATGACTGTCTCTGTAATCTTGGCAGCACAGGGACCCTGGCCTTCAATACTGCTCCAAGCAGTACTTTTCCAAACCCCCTTTTCCAGCCGACCCAGCCTGCAGGCTTGGCCTCCCAGCGCCTGTGGGCAGCCACCAGGAACACCCATGGGAGCACACATCGCTCCAGCCACCTTCCCACCACATTTCCTACTGGTCCTCCACATGCTGGGACCTCCAGAACAAACCTCCCCAGCCTCCAGAGCAGCAGTGTTTTGTCCCTGCCTTTGTGTGCCAGGGACACCTCAACACCAAAGCTCTGCTCACAGTCCTGCTCCCAGAGCCAGCTGCTGCGAGGGGAGCCAAAAGGACCCCAAAAAACAGACCACAGCTCTGCAGGGACTGTGGGCACACTGCTGTTGGTGCTGGTGCTGCTGCTGACCTCCACACACCCCTTCTGACCTAGGATTACCAGGTATTTGCAGCCTCAGGACGGGCACTGCCCACAACCCTCACAGTCACAGTCTATGCTGGGGACTCTGCGGTCCCGGAGAACAAACATGAAAAGCTCTTACCATCCTCGTTCCCACTGAAGGGTGGTGACTTGCTGGAGGTGTTTGCCCCCATGGTGTGCTCAGCCCAGGCTCAGTGCTCCCCGCTCCTCTGGTTCCCCTCAGCCCTGGGACGGTGCTACTGCGGGTCAGTCCCAGCAGACCTCAGCGGTGTCCTGATGGTGCATCCTAGAGAGGGCAGGAGGCAAAAACTCATCATCACTCAGGATGAAGATACATTTAGAGCTTGCAGAATTCTCACTGGAGGTTCGCTGCTCTGAGGGAAACACCGAGTGTCAGGGAAAAAGCACATGATAATAGAGTTTACTAGGCAAACCAGTAACACCATAACCTTGTAACCCAGACCAGGACTGCTGCCTGCTATGGGAAGGGCAGAAATAGACCAGCAGACCCAAAGATCCGAGGATCTGGCTCGTGTTTGCTACATTATCCAACGCATATTTTGTAGCGTCAGTGATGACTAATTGCAGTGAGGTCAATATCCAAAATAAATGGACATAGTAACTTGGCTAGACAGAGTCAAAAACCACTTTTGACTGCTAAGGTCATGTGGAAGGGTAAAAGCTATAGAAGAAGAAATTCAAAGTGTCAGCTTTTTGATTTAAGCTGTTACACAAGTCTTTCATACCATTCTGGGTTTTTTGGGTTTTTTTAATTGAAAAGATTACATGTAAAATCAAGGTGCAGTTACCACACAAGTTCTTAAAAAATTTTTTTCAGGTACGAGCTATGAACAAAAAATCAAACCTGATTTCTGTCTTGGTGCTGGCAGCAGTGAACTGGCTTTCCTCTCCCATTGCAAAGGGACAGCTGTCATTAGCAGACAGCACAGGTTTCAGTTTTCCAGTCTCCCCTGACACGAATGGGAATACTGGAGTGTAGGACTCTGTAGAGTTCAGTGACAGTTGAGAGAACCTGAATGCTCTCCCTAGGGTACAGCAGCCACTTTATATTTGAAGCATTTACATGCAAAGCACCTTTATTTGCTTGGTTTTGATACTGACATCCCTCTGACACACAAGTTTATTTCTTGTTGGAAGTACAAAGCCCTAAAAGAATAAAATGAGGGAGTAACAGTGCATCAGGATCTGGACTGTGTTCAACCCAGATCATTCTCCAGGGCATCTGTTTCTTCACTGAACATTTTCTCAGATCTACAGTCTGAAAACACCTACTGAGCAGCTTCACTTTTTTACTTTGAAGTAACAAAATCACGTTACTGAACCCGAAAAGAGAGGAATCATAAAATGTATGTCGGAGAAAAGAGAATTACTGGGAACTAGGGCTGCCATGGGATGCTGTTAGTTCCCACATCAGCACACACAGCTCCTTCTCTCACACTAACGAAAACAAAATCTTGATTTCCCATCTCAGAACTGAAACAAGATCCAACAATAAAACAAATGAAGCAGCAAACGTTTACGATCCCTATCAGTGCCTCTGAAAGGAACAGACTGAGCCTTCAGTTTCAAACAAAGCCACACCAGCACCTCTTTTCTAGCCGCAAAACTTACTCTTCAGAGCAAAAACAGACCTTCAGATGTAACAGCCATAAATCAGGTTCCCATGCCACTGCTTCTACACCATGGTGATCTGACTGATGTCAGCCAAGCTCAGATGCTCAAGGAAACTTCCTTGCACAGCAGTCTGGAGCTGAATTTATTTTTGAAAATACATCAATACATACAAGCTCCGAGGAAGGAGTGCAGGTATTCCTTGAAGTTAAGCTAATCTGAGTACTAATTACAATGGTTTGTATCTTTACGAAGCGTACCCGGGGTACCGTAACGATACATTCTTTACTCTTTCACGCTGCAAAGTCACAAAATTATTAAAATAATTAGTTTTCCTTGGGCCAAGTCTACTGATGCTGCCACTCTGACATCATGCTCGAGTCGGACCTTCGTTGTCCCCGGGGTCTCGTCAGCGGGAATTTTACAGGTATGAAGGCGGGCGATCCCGGCTCCCAGCCCCGGAGGTGAACGCAAACCCAAAGTAAAGCAGAGGGATGCAGCCACCTGCGCGGTTTGCTCTCGCACCGCGAGCAGGGTGTGCTCTGAGGGGAAGGGAGCGCAGTGGGACTGAGGGAAGGGCTGGACGCGCACCTGGAGGATGAGCAGCAGCCTCATCCCCTCTGGTGGGGACTGCTGAGCCCCTGGAAGAGGACCGCGATCTTCGAGGGTTCACAGACAATTTCTCTCACTCCCCTGCACTGTCCGAGCGCCGCTCGGGGGAAGCTGCGGCTCTGCCGAGCGGCTGGGACTGAACGGTGACACAGCCAGGAGGGACATCACCCTGCGCTTCGGTCCCAGGGAAACTGATGACTGAACTCCCCCGCGGCCACAGCGGCGCTCGGGAAGGACGAGAGCAGGTGCCATGGGTGTCACCGTCAGTGCCATGGGTGTCGTCTGCGGTTCTCCTCGCCGCAGCCGGGCCCCTGGCAGTGCTACCCCCGGCCCGTAACACGCTGCGGGCAGCGGCGGAGCTGCCGCCGGCGAGCACCGCATCTCCCGAGCCGCCGCCAGCAGCGAGCGATGGCCCCACTGCCCAGCCCCGCCACCGGGGCAGCGGATCAGACCCCGGTCCGGAGAGCACAGCCGGGGAGGCGCCTACCTGGGGGGAGCGGAGCGCGGGGTCCGCGGCGGGACCGGGCAGCCACCGGCCCGGGCAGCACCGGCGTGCGGGAGCAGAGGAGCCGGGAGCGCAGGAGCCCCGAGCTGTGGAACCTGGAGCGGAGCAGCCGGGGAAGAGGAGCAGCCCCGCCGCCCGTGCGGTGCCGGCCGGACCCCCTTTGGCGGCGGGAGGAGCTGCGGCAGCGCGGGCGGGACACGCGTGGGGCCGCGCCACGGACACGACGCCGCGCCGTCAGGACCTGTCCCCGTCCCCGCCCTGCGGCGGGCAGGGACGGTCCTCCCGATCACCCCACCGCCCGAGCCACTCTGCCGCCCTCGCTCCTGGGTTATCCCTTCTCCTCCTCGAGCCTCGTGCCGTGACTTTTATCGCTTTTGTCCAGGGGAGGGTCGGGCTCTGCCCCCCGTGCCCGGGTGCACACACGCACACACACACCCGCCTCGGGGAACAGCTCACATCCCGGATCAGAGCTGGGTCCCATCCGAGCTCAGCCCCGGTCACTCTGATTTTGGCAAGGCTGAGTCCCGAGGTCACAGCACCGCCCCTGCGCGGCCGCATTCCCGATGAAAGGGTCCCAGAAGAAGAGACACACCACATCTCCCACCCCATTGTCCATACCGTTCCGTCACTGCCTTCTCTTCTCTCATTCCTGAGGGCCAGGAGCAGGTGCAGACTCCCCGGGTTCTAAGGGAGAGCAGTCCTTGTCCCAGGACAGACAGAACTCAGAGCAATTATCCAGCTTTAGCCATACTCTTGTATTACTTAGAGAAGAAGCAACGAGCTGAAACACAGCTTGGAGTCCCCTAAAACTATCTAAACCAAATCAAATTATCTGAAAAATAAACCCATGGACTGGAGAGGGAGAAAGAGGCTGGATTCCTGCAGAGCTGGGCCAGGGGACACCCATTCTCAGCCCCCAGCCCTGAGGTGAGGACACATACCAGGGCTCTGGGGGCAGGTGTGTTGGGACCCAGCTCCTGTCCTGGGAGATGAGCTGCACAGCCCTACAGCAAGGATGGGGATCCAGTAGTTACCACACAGAAATCAAGTAACAAAGTGGTTTACCCATCTGTGGTCGATAGGATAACACGTTCATGCTGCAGGGCATGGTTAGTGATTTATCTACAGTTCCAGCATCAGGGGAGGCCCAAGATTCCCCTCCCAACCTATCAGAGGATTCACCTGTGGTCTTCTGCATGCCCAAAGCAGCTTTTCCTAAATGGACTAAAATTTACTGAACTGAGGATCCTTTCTTTTTGATCTTTCACATTAGTGGTTTAAATGAAATTTGAAAATTTTTTACCTTAAGTCATTAGATTTTTTTTTAAAATATTATTCTTCAGATTTTATTTCCAACAAAAGCTCTTATCCAGGAGGATTAGTGGAACCAGAAGCAGAAATGTTACAGAAGTATTAGTCCAGAGTTGTTGTCTGCATAGTGGGTCATCTGGAGAGTTTCAGGATCTCTGTATGTTGGCAGAAATTAAATATTAAAGCCTAATTACTGAGTAGGCCAAAGAAGCAGCAAATGAGAGGACAGAAGGCAGCTCTTCTGCAACAGCTCCTGCAGAACAGCCAACTCTGCCCCTGGAATGCAGGGGCACCTGGTCCAGCCCCGCTGGGTAACAGGAAAACACTGTTTCCTCGGTGTGTCGAGAGCTGGTGAGGGATTCATTTTCCATGGGAAACAGAGAACCTCGTGTCCCTCAGACAGGGCTTGGGTCTGCAATAAACAGAGAACACACTGAGAAAAAAAACCTAGTAGACATTTCCCTCAGTTTTCTTAAGGAGTGGGGCTTTCCTACTATGTCAGCTCAGTAAAAGGAGGCTCTCAAGCAGAGGGAGGTCTCGAGCAGGGGAATTTTTTCAGTGGGACTAGAAAAAGAAATTCGGGGAAGTGAAGTGGGCTCTCCGAGGCACCCGTCGTGTGCAACAGCCACCCCCAGCTTTCCTGGCTGGAGAAATGGGAGCGCCACGGTGGATCTCTGGTGCCTTCTAATGGAGAGGAGGCACGGCTGATCCCTCTCTTCCGAGAGGCTCCGGCCACCAACCTGTGTGGTCTGCCAGCACACGAACCCCCGGTCCCCAGCCCAGGCAAACTCCCGGGGTCTGCAAAGGTCAGAGGGGGCTGCCACTGCATTAAAAAATAATTTAAAATAATGTTCATTCTCTTTTACAGTTCTAACTATTCAGACAACTATATTTCTGTTTCAAGTGCCAAACTAATTTTTATCAATGGCTTACAAAAACAGAGATGTTTTGCCAGACTTACTCTACGTATTTCCTGGAACCTTAAGTCTTAAAAAAAGTGACATTATACTGAGCAGCCTAACTCAGCTGCAACCCTCTGGTGAACTTTAATATTAGGTTTATCTGCAATGAGTCAGATTTCAATACCCATTGCTGGCATATCTCTGTGGTTAAAGTGGGCTCACCTTAACACACTGCCCACAGCTCCTACTGAATTAGAAGGATCCTGTAGCTTTGCAGGTGGCTGCCCATCCCAAAGCACATATAAATATGATATACATATTTAAGTGAGGTTAAAACTCACTCCAGCCTGTCCAAAGGCATGGACTAGCCAGGACTCCCCTCCAGCAACACAGGCTCTGGGCTGTCTCTCCCACGATCAGGGAGCAAGGGTTTTCTGGATAGGCAAATCTGTTCCTAGTGCCTTATCCCATTCACAGACACCCTGGCCCTTGGTGCAGCACAGACGGTGGCACCTGCACCCACTCTGATATGTGCTGTGGAGTGGCTGCTTCTGAAAACATCTTGGGCATGGTTTTTGTGATGGAAACCACAGTACCCCGAGCCTGCATTAGAAGAGAATTTTTAAATACACCGATCCTAGCAAGATTCCTGTAGGGTCTGAGCTCTGGTTCAGAGAACACGCTGAGGAGTGGCTGATCCTGGCTGCAGGATGTGAAGCACTAGGACTCCTCAGCTAGGGGTCACTAGAATTTAAGACAGAACTGGATTTCAGAGTCTAAAGTGACTGCAGAGGGAGGACATGCTGTACAGAGAGACTACTGGATAAAAGATTTCATATATTAATGATAACATTACCTGCAGCTTCATATTCCTTCTCTAACACTGTTCCTGGTAAAAAGATAGCAAAATCATGGAGAATCCACTGGCAATGCAGAGTCCTTGCCCCTGTCTCCATAATATACAGTCAAAGCACGAGGATCTCCATATTCCCTCCTGTACCAAGGGGTTTCCCTTCACTGCAGCCTTCCTTTCCCACTTAGTTATGCTTCACACATTCCCTTCCTTCAGCTCTATTTACAGCTGGAATAGGGGGAATCTCTTTTCTGATATGGATAGATGCAAAAGGAAATCTACCTCACCTCACTTACGTATTTTCCTTCTTTTGCCACAATGAAGACCACCTAATCTTCATTGTCTTGATTTTTTTAAACCCTTTCCATAATATTTATACTGAGAAAAACAACTAGGGGGAAAATGTTTATATGGAAACAAAAGTCTTAAGTAAAGCTTTAGGTAAGTTTCTGCATAAATAAATGTGTACACAAATCAACAGTGAGTGCATGACAGCTCTCCTCCAGCAAGCTGGGATGTTAACAGTGACTATAACAACTTCTTTGTGAGTCTGTTCTTATTGTGGTGAAATGGAGCTCGTTAATTAACACTGGGTAGTGGTCACTTGAGGTGTCAGTAGGTGGCTGGAATGTAAAAGTATTCCTGCTCCCACTCCTTTCACTACTATGTATCGTAACCTTTCCCACTGGGACAGCATCCCTGCTTACATCACCCACTCCCATCAGCATTCCCAGCCTGTTGTGTGCAGCTTAAATGGATGCTCTCCCACTGCTCCCAGCATTAGGACTCATCCAGTTCCAGGGCTGGATTCAGTGCAGTTTGCAGCAGACACCATAAAATTAATCAATATCCATGTTCAGCATTTTCCTGGGCATATCTGATTCTTAAAAGAGTTCTTAAAATTCTTAGAATGAAAAGGCATTTAATTTGCATGCTGGCAAGAGAGAGACCAAGTGCAGGCAAGATTGTTGTATACATCAATATCACAAGACATGTCCTTAATTAGTGAAATCCCATCCCTACAGCAAGAACTGACATTCTAAGAGAAACAACTCCAAGAACTACAGGTGATGTCTACGTGGTCCACAGAGAAATTTCAGGAATTAAGTCAGCAATAAACCTTCAAAAACACAATACCTTTCTTTAAATCACCCCTCTCCAATATATCAAAGAGGGGCTTGGTTATTTACAGGCTTTTTCCCAGCCTGGTGTCTGTAACAGCGTAGTGCTTGTGCTCTGGGAGTCTGGGGGTACCAAGGGCTGAGAAACCCTGACTGCTGCTGTCAGCACTTCCAGCACAAAGCAGGAATAAACCATCCCTGGTGTCAGTGTGAGAATCACAGCAATGAGGACAGGCACAGATCCTGTCAGAGTCTGTTGGGCAAAAAATATACTGAGCTACAACGTTTATGACAGCGAAGATCTGAGACAGAGCCCTGCAAACCGCCCAGATGTCAGAGACTCACTGTCACTCCTACCAAAGCTTCTGCCCGAGCTGCAACAAGCACCACAGAGCCGCTGGAAAACAGTCATCTCCCCACTGCCTGGGTGGGGTATTTCATCCTCACCCTCCCCTTTACTCACAGCTTTCCCTTGGGTTTATTTCCTTCCATACAGACTCAGACATTAACAACACAGATTTGAACCCTGACAGAGACTGCACTGCTCCCTGGTGACAGACAGGTGCCACCAGAGCTGGCACAGCCCCTGGCAGGGGACTGAGGGCTCCATGCCCTCTCTGTCACAGGCTGCCTGGGCAGCACCTGGGCTCAGGGATACTTTTTGCCGGCATAGACAAAGGCCTTTTTTCAAGATACTGCTGCAGGCTGAGGGAGGTAGTTCTTGGCAGTGATTAATAAGGCTTTGCTGGTGCATCTTTAAGCAGCTCTCATGTTATTTCTAGGCCCACAACAAAATTCCTGGCAAGTGTACACCCAAACAGAAAGGACTGCTTGAGTAAAAACTTAGAAGGTGCTGATTCTGTTATTCAGGGCACTTTGCATGTATCTGTCAGGACTGAGCTCCCAGAGAAGGCAGGATGCCAAGCCACTGCAGACCGAGATTAAAAATGGAAACCAGGAGTTCTGGATAATTGTTCCCTATGTCCTGGACATGTGTGAGGCAGTTACAGCTGTAAAAGCTGTGTGTGTAATCATGTACTCATGACCTTATATATACCTGGCTTTTTGTTTGTAAGTGCCTTAGTATTTTGAAGAATTCAGATGTACAACTTCACATTCCCACTGCCAAAAACTCTTCATTAATGTCTTCAGCAGCAGCTGTTCCTGAGAGATGCTTTGAAAACATGAAGAAAATGTCATCAAACACATGGTTGTTTGTGGTTTCTTCAAAACAATCACATAAAATGAAACAGATGTGTTTATAAGCATAAAAATCTCTGCAAAACAGTAGTAACTGAACAGCATTAAAGTATCAGACATTCATTACACACATGGATGTTAAACTGACATTAATAAAGCTGCAGTGTGAGGCATTTACAGGTTAGCAGATGTAAAAACATGAGGGTCAAAGGCATGGGATTACTCGGGAGGAGAAGTCAAAGGGAGGCAGCACTCTTTACCAAGAGCTTGGCAAGACCTGGTTTTGTAGTTGTAATTTTTTTTCTTTTTGCATTTTCCTGTCACATTTTGTAGCTGTTTCCACTGTTCAGACACCTCAAGTCAGAAATTTCACTAAATAATATTCCACAATCTGATCACCTCATACCCTCAGATTCCAGAACTTTTCATACTCTTAAAGCTTCATTTTCCCCCCCTCCCATATTTGTCTTGAATCATCCAATAAAGCTCACTCTTGACTTTGTAGCTATTACATATTCAAGATGGTTACATTACTTTTGATATATACCTGTATTAATATACCAAAAATTAAATAAAATCAGACAGAAATCTCACAAAGGCATTCAGATAGGCCGTGGCATAGTCCATATAACTCAGTCCTATCTGCTGATGGACATTATCTGCCAATCCCATGTTTTCCTTTTCTTTTGCAGGGAAATAACAAGTCTTGATAGCACGACCACCTGGCTGAGCCCAGTATCACACCTGCTGAGTGTGAAACACTCACATTTTCTGTGACACATATCACCTGTGTGTAAAACAGGTAAGATGATATTTCCTGTCCTCATGGCTCCCTTGTGCTGCTTTCTTCATGTCTGGAAATGCTTTGACATAAAACATGTTAGGATGAAAGGAAGCAAGTTGTCCTTTGAGGCAGTGGATTTTTTTGTTGAACAGTGAAAACTGTGTTGCAGAAAGGGAAATTCTGCTGAGCTGTCAAGAAAGCAAGGAGCAACAGTAGACAAAATCCTCATTTCTCTCAGAGAGTCTTAACACAGAGTATTGTTGCAACAGCAAGCACAAGTGAGAGCTCTACAGCTTAAATAATAGGACTTGCAATAGAAATGCCCGTAGTAATTTTTTAAAGCAGCTACAGGACACTTGTGATTCCAGACAGATTTTGATTTACAGTGTTATGATGTGCTGTAAAGCAGCTCCATGCTGCTTGGGTTCATTGCCAAGCAGTTCACAACTAGCACTGACCACAAATGGGGACAAAATTTCTTGTGGTAGTAGGGGCAGTTCTTTTTTCCTCTGTTTCGCTCCCTCTTTAACAGTGCTGGGAATGACTAGGGGCATTAGTATTCTGATGGAGAGAGGCTGTGACAAAGACCATGACTACAGGGCCTCCTGACTGCTGTGCTGCTGCCAGTGATGTGGAGGGGACTGACTCCGATGGCTCCGTTTCCCAACAGCCCTGCCCTGGCACGGAGGGAACAGACGGGCGATTCATAACGCGGGCACGATGCTCTCAGCCTCACAGTGCTAGCTTTGCACTTTGCATGGGAGAATGATACCAGGTGAGCAGATATTTATCTTCATGCAGGGACTGCAGATATCTGGATGTGCATGTGTGTGTGTTTGTTTAAAAAGGGACACTTTGATCGTATCTTCTTTCTGCGTGTGTTTTCCTGGCAGGATTTGGAAGCCTCATGCAGGATGTGCTGTGGTGCTTCAGTCAAGTAAAAGGAACTATAGACATTGGGGTGACAGAAGGTAAGTTTATTTTTCCTTTTGTAGCTGTGATCAAAAATAATTTGCCATGTACATCTCGCCTGGCTGGTGTGCAGGGAGGTTGTTCCGTGGCGTTGGGAGCTGCTGGCACAGAGCTCAGTAACACTCCTTGGTTTCTGCCCTCCTTATGTATTTATGTATCTGGAAGAGATGTGTCTCTCAAATTAGCTACTGAACCAAGAATTTATTTGAAGGCATCATGGCTTAAACATATCAATAGCCTTTGAAATAGAATTCCTTTTGGTTTTTAGCTGTTATTTAGAGAGTTTTTCAGGGAATTGTGGGACAGCCTCTCCCACTATAACCTCATTTACTGGAATCAGTTCTGGAACTGAGAGAGAATCACAGATTTACAGAATCATGGACCATTAGATGCATTTCTTCTACTTTGTTGTGATCCTTGAAGTGTGATGACTTCCTTAAAAGCACAGTCTTGTAAGACTAAGAGGACTGAGTCAGCCCAGGCCTTTGACAGTGGAGTTCTGACTAATCCTGGTGGGAATGTGGGTTTTCCTGGAGCACTGTCACCTGTCCCATTTCAGTGGCAGTTCTGTTACACTGCTTTTGCAGAAGATGTTTTTACTCTGTAGCCACTGGAGACTGCAGTAGGGCACAACACTCAGGAGAATATTTAATCATTTTTAAATCTCTGGAGAAAAAACCCATCACAGCAATTAAAGCCAAAATATTATTTGAATTTTTTTTCCCAAAATTGTTTGCAAGCATTTTGAGATTTTATTGTAGAATCTGCAGATCTTTGTAAATGATCAGGAGTACTTGTTTGCTACTTTAGGATTAATGAAATGTTAGGTTGCTTCTTCTTGCTCACTATTCTTGTCTTAATGTGAGAAGTTATCAGCTGAGGGTTATAAGCTTTCTTTTTTTACCATTGGAGACTCAGTGCTGGAGGAATCCAGAGACATGATGACAGGATGACGTGATTTTTTTCTTGGGGTAACCTGGGCTCACAGAGGAGTAAATTCTGATTTTTATCTGATGGATAATACTTAAAAGCTGTATTCAGTGAAACCAGTAACAAAAAGGTGACCATTGGTGTGTTGAATCTGGCCAACTGGTACAAACTTTATCACCATGACTGAGCAAGAAGCTTAGGAGAGTGTTAGGTGTGGGATGGGCTTTGGCTCTTGTGCTGGTTTGTGCTTGTATCTGAATGTGCGTGTGTGTGGCTACAGATGTATACACACATGAATTAAATCATAAATGTGGTACCACAGATACCTCACCTTCATCAGAAGTTCATCCATAACTTGTTACTATTATGTGAGTCTTTGTGGCACATTTCTGACCTTCAGAACTCTTAGCAACATCCAAGCACCCTGAATTTGCACAAGGTGATTTCATTAGTAATTAGGAAGCATGTAGTTGCGTACAGCCAGGTGAAAGATGTTACTACTGTGTTTACAATGTTCTGCACCTTTGAGACGCAGCAGAGCCTCCCTCCTTCAGCAGGATGGATTGTCATTCTGGTTTTCAAATGATACTTCAAATGTTGCCAATAATTCTGCATTAATTCAGTGCTAATTGCTTGCTCTTTTCCACACACGTGAAGCCACACGAATAGATCTACACAGACTTTATAATTTTGTTCTTTCCTTGTTTGTTGCTTTCCTTAACTTGAAGAATGGTATCACAGTCCACGGTACTTGTCTCGATGACACCACGGGTGTAATGGATCCTTTAACCGACGCAACTGTGGGGATGAATGAGCTCCCTTGTGCATACATGGGAGGCTGGGACATCTTTCAGCTGCTCAAACACTGATTTCAGTGTTAAACGTGAAGTACATGATGTTGCTGATCGCCGTTGTGGTGTCCCAGTGCTTTGAACTACATTTCCTTGCTGCCAAAAGGAAAAAAAAAGTTTTAGAGATCTTTCCCTATTTTGATGCGTTGATAATGAGCAGTCTAGTGTAGAAAACGGATTAGCGCAAACCCGAGAGGTGAAAGCTCCTCGGGGCTGGCGCGATGCGGGGCTGCTCGCTCGGCTCCGGCTCCGGGAGCGCGGCAGTTTCGGGACACGCGTCCGCCTCCCCCGGGATGCGCTGGGACAGCCCCGGCCCGGGGCCCTGCGGCTCCTGCGGGGCCCGGGGGTGTGTTTGCGGGCGGGACGGGCTTAGTCAGCGCTCCCGGCCGCGCCGCAGCCGATGCGGCGGCGGGGCCGGGCCGGAGCGCTCCGCTCCGCCGGGGCCGGGCCGGCAGCCCGGGGACCGGCCCTCCCCGCCGGTATCGGTCGGTGTTTTAGCTCGGCCCGGGGCGGAAGATGAAATGCTTCTCGCGGTACCTCCCGTACCTGTTCCGGCCGCCCGGCGCGCTGCGCTCCGCCAGCTGCCACGCGGAAGGTACGCGGGGGCGCGGGGGGAATGCGGGAGCTGCGGTGGCGGTGCTGCACGGCTCCGGCTGCGTGTAGCTTGTAGATGTGGCCTTTAATGCATCCGGATATTCCCGAGGAAATGGAACCATCCTGCCGGGCTCTGCCCGCCTCCGGCTACCCGAGCCCTCTCCCTGCACCGGCAGAGTCTGTTTCCAGGTCTTGGCGAAAACAGCTCTGCAGAAACTGGGGAGAAGGAAATGTTCTCAGCAGTGTTTGAACTTTGCGTTTCCAAGGTAGGGATGCAAAGTACCGGGGCAGTGTTCGCCGAGACTTCCGTGGGACTCTCCCACCGGAGAGCCCTTTCTTGCGGATTCATCCCCGTGTGATGGGGTGTGGGAGCTGCCGGACGGGTCTGCGGACCATCCGCAGTCACCCAGCAGCTCTGCGGGATTTACATTCCCAGCACGGCTGCTCCCCGTGTGGAACCGCGGCGGCTTTCCACATTTGCCCTAAACAAAATCAGTCAATGAGGGAAACCACCACCCTGTCACCCAGGTTTCCGCAGACCCATGAGTCTGTGTGCGTGACTGAAGAACCAACCTGATCCGAGAGGAAAATCCAGGCGAACGCTGCAGGGATGTGGAGTGAAAGGGGCAAGCAGAGAGCACTTGGCAGCAGCTGATGACGCTCCAAGCTGAGTTATTACATTAACTGGGGTTTCTATAGTTCAGTGCAAAGCAGACAGTATAAACTTTTTTTTTTTTTAAAGTTTCTCTGAAGTTCTAAGCAGACAAAATGATCCCAATGGGTAACTAGCTATGAAGTTATTTGAAAATTTCTCTGAAGTTTTCTTTTGTTTTCCTGTTGACTTTGTCCGAAGGCACACAGTCTCTTTAAGATATCCTGAATAAGTCACTTCTGGATTGTTGTACTGGAATAAGTAATTCAATGGAGAAGCAGACCTTGCTGTTTTAGGGGAGGTCATATGAGACTACTGAGAGAGAAAAAAAAATAGAGAAAGAATGTCACATCAGTGTAGCATCCACTCTTCTCCATTGAGAACAATATAGAAAGAATGAAATGTGAACAGAACTGTTTCTTAGACCCATTATCAGATGCATATAATAAACTTGGGGTGAAACTGATGTTTGGGAGAGTTTAAAGGACCCTGTTCCAGGCTTCATCAATAGCAAAACCAAGAAGACAACCCAGGTAAGAGTAGTGTCCTGCATGAAGAGGCAGCAGAATAAATAGATTTTTTTAAAAATCAATGGGGTAAATTTGATGTATTTGACAATGAGTGTTTCTTTCAAGGCCTCTGAAGAACGGCTGGCACCGCGCCGGGGCTGCAGCTGCGACAGAGGCACAGGGCAGGGACTGTCCCCGGCGAGCCTGGGCACGGGCCGGTGGTGCAGCCCCACTCTGCCCTGCCCCAGGGACAGACAGTCCTTGTGCCCAACCTCCAGCATGCCCCGAGGGAGGGCACAGCAGCCCGGTGTAGTGCCCACTGCTGCTGCCCCAGCCCACAGGGAGCTCTCCTCCCACCAGCAGTCCAGGTCTGTCCTGCAGCAGTTCAAACAGAAGGCGAATTTACATTTAATCTTCAGGAATTACGTGTGCTTCCAAATTACAGGCTGCGTGTCTGGAGGGCGAGGGAGGGCACGGATGAGTTCTGATCTTTGCTGCTTGATAAGTCAGAGCAGCTCCTCCTTTTCTGTAGCTCCTATGTCTTTTCCTGTTTGGAAGTTATGATAATTCCCAGACCATTTGGATGAGTAGTTCCCTGGCTCACAAATGCTCCAAAGAGCGGAGCAGTACCCGTGTTTCAGTAGCCCTGCGGTAACTTTCTGTTTGTTTTCTCTGAAGCCTTTTACAGATTTCTGTTTTTCCATGTCTCCTCAGTTTGTAACCAGGCTTTGAAACAGCGTTTTGGAGGTTCCAGTGGAGGTGACATGAAGGCCAGGAATGTTTAATCACTTATGTTAGAGCTGATATTAAAGCTTAGCTCAAAGGTGCCCTTAAGCTAGAGGGTTAGCTTTGTACGGGTCTTTAACATGAAAGCTCAGCCAGAGGCACCTTAAAACTAAGCTCTTTACCTTGGGGGCACCTTTAGGCCAAGCTTTTGGCCTTTGGAATATTTTTGAGTGATATATGTAAAAAGTAATAATGATTTCCTCATACACTCCAGACAGCAGATTCCTCCATGGGTGACCACAGGGTGTGTTCAGGTTTCAGTCGGATCAGTGGAATAGGCCAATTAACAATGTGAAGGAAGGTCTGCTTGGGAACCGTTTAAAATGTGCTGTAAAGCTCCTGGTCCCCAGTGCCACCCTGTCAGTGGGACAGAGCAGGGACCAGCTGGCTGGTGGCCGACAGGCTCCTCCACTGCACTCAGTCCCTGCATGGTGTGTCACAGGGCAAACCCCAGTCCACATGCTGGAGAGCTCTCACACAAAATCCTTGGCCTGCAGGCAACCTAAAATAGCCAGGTTTCTGTTTTGAAGACTTTACCTTTGTTATTATGATGACCCTCACACTTACCACCAGCTTGTCAGTTTTGTTCCTGCTGTGTTGACCATGGGTGGGTTGATTTTCCTGGTGAGCCATTCCAGTGGCTCTGACTTGAGTTAATCAGGCATCAGCAGTTGGGA